TTTGGATAGAGCTTCTCCCAAACTTCAAGCCAAGGTCGGTAACTTGTCAAAACTATGACAGAACTCAAAGTTGGATCTTTGACATAATTTAATAGCTCCATTTCGTATAAACTGGCTAAAGCTTAGTCATCCAAAGTCAGCTACAAATCTACAACTATGGAGCTCGACGGCATCACTGATTCTGCTGTTCAACGAATATTAATTTCGCACGCAAAAGTGGCACTAGCCAACGCTAACTGTAGGTAACATATATGAGGTTGCGAACAAGTGACTAGACCTAATACCTAGCATATCTAAGAAGCACGCCCAGACAGTTTTACACGAGTCTTTCGGACAAAAACTTTAGAGCGCCTTTTCACAGAAATAGCAGAAACAGAAGTCCACCGTAGAGTTTTACGTCCTTGTACTCACACCTCGCAAATAGGAGAAGTATATTACTTCCATATGCTTCCGTGTACCTGGATCTTGCCTAGAGAGTATAAAGATACTTCTTCTATAGAAGATTGATCTATTTCCTTTTTCTCCCCTCAAACTTGCCTAAGGGCTATGGTGTGACATAATATAACTCTAATTTGCAGCTCTAGTCAAATTCTAGACATTCTACTTCTTTGATTTCAAAAATAGCTCGACTTACTATTTGAAACAAGTTGCAATGTAACACAGGTACTTACTAGCAGCTGCACAAATGGGATGTCATGGAACCTTCAAAGCGATGAGGAAATTTCTTATGTGAATGAAGAAATACCATACGAGACAGCTCCCGGTTTTTGTAATTCCGTACGCTCAGAACTATCTCAGCAAAAAAATATGCACCTTGGTATCTTGAAATTCCTAAACCAACCAAAAGTGACTCTCCTTGTTCAACACGGAAGAAGGTAGTAAACTCGGAAGTCAAAAAAATTCAAGAGTAGAGCTTAGGCATAACAAAAGGCGTTTGGTGAGAGAGAGAACATCGGAATCGAGGAACCGACACTCGAGTCGTAAAGTAACGAAATCTAAGGAATGCTAATTCGAGCACAAAAAATATTGTGGACTTTGACCAAGAAAAGTTTTCCATCTTTAGTTATTAAGTCGAGTTTGTGCGTTAAGTAATGGACTTACTGAATATATTGATGAATGTTCGCAATTTTTTTACATCGCAGTTGCATGTGATTGCACAATTAAGTACGCAAACAAATATAGCTTGTAAACAAAGAAAACTTTGATAATGATTGATTTGTAGGGTACATGGATCAATCCGATCCCGATCATCACTCTTCGGAGGTCAACTATCCAGGTATCTCTCTTTGAACTTTCCAATTCGAACTCCTCCCCAAATTCTTTTACAGTTTCCGACATGGAAAACTACGCTGGCTTACCTCGACCTGAGCTTGGACTAGCTCCTGCCGGTGCCCTACTTGGCATGGAATCTATTCCAGTAAGTCCATTTCCCTTCTTTTCGATAAATGATCTCAGCTAATCGTTCTAGATGGTTCCATCTGTTCCACAAGAACATCAATTCTACATGCCAGCTCCACAACCCGTTCAGCCGCACCTCAATAATGTCGCCCTTACTGGCTTAATGCACAACTATCTTATTTGAAAGCTTACTACTTCAAGCTTACCATTATTTGGTGTCAAAACAGAAAAACTTCAAGCACATTTCTTCGCTTTGATCTCGTCTGGACTACGGTTTTCTTGCGCGTTGATTGCTGCTCTACCGTCGGTTACGGTGGTCTTAAATTTGTGCAACGAACCACATTGGCTAAACATGGGCTGTTCTTCCTCATCTTGCATTGCATTAATTTTGATCTCTTGTATGACATTCTCTTCCATTGAAATACCTTCGATTTTTGAACGATTCTATTGAGCATCTTCAGCTTTAGCCATACATTCCTGATTTCGTCTCGAGACCCTTGCTATACGCTTGGATTGTATCCTGTTCGATTCATGAAATAATCGCATTCGATCTGATCTCTGTGTCATTTTACTTCAGTCGCATACATTTATCTAGTCCTCAAAAGATTTTATGGTCCCTAGTCAGCTTTAGCCATATCCCGAGTTCTCTCCTTTCGCCAAATATAAATCGTTTCACTTTTTTAATTGCTTCTCAATGCTTTTGTGTCTAAGCTCCCGTAGCTGCATTTTCTTTACTTTTTTT